AGGAAGGCCTGGCGCAATATGGTTCATGGGGTCACGAACAGTCGGACACGACTTAACGACTGAACAACAACAGTGATGTCATAACAGGTTTTCTGTTGAGGTTAAGACTGCATGCCTAGTGACATTTTTAAAACGTGGAGTGGGAATGTGGATTACAGAAAATAATTATTTTACTCTCCCCTTCTCTGCAATGAATAAAAGAAATATAGTAGTCATGGGATCTAGAGTATGTTTCTGATGCACACACACACTGAGTTTTCTAAGAACATTCTATAATGCCTTTTTTCTTATGTTTAGAAATTCTCATCTAATTGCGGTGCTTTGCTATTTGTATATTATATACAAAAAGCAAGGATAATTTTTAATCTCTTTTAATTAAGGTTTATCCATCTTAATGTTCGGTTGAATGACTATTTCCATTGGACTTTGGTTGGGAAGCCTTATAGATATATCAATAATAAAATAAAAAGCATACATTTTTCTATTGTATTTTTTTATTTACATACAACATGCGCACACCTTTACTCTTCCGGAATGTTAAAAAAAAAGTGGAGAGATCCAAATCTACCTCAGAAAGTCTTATGTTTCTCAATAAAAGTGGAAAGATGAGATCTACAGGAGGGTGACGCTATACTAATAGGAACATGAGCCTAAATTTAAGTAAACACAATAAATGATGTAGAGAAATACATGTAAGCAGCAAAAGTCATTTGTAAGACCTACATTCTGCCTTTTCTTCAAGAGTGAAAGGCATTCCCCTTCATTTTCTCTCTACAACAACCACCTTGAGAGGTAGGCTGGACTGAGATTTTCAGTCCTTACGTCAGCCAGTGAATTTCCATGGCTGGGGATTGACTTGAACCTGGATCTCTTAATCTGAACATACAATAGAATAAAATTAATCTTATTCTCATCAGAAAACGGGCTTATACTTTGACATTATTGAAAATGGAATCATTTGTTCAGCAAAATAGCTTTCTTTAAAGAAAGGTTAATGTGCAAAAGTGCTGTAGGAAATCTATGCTCAGCTAGTGTAATGGTATGTGGGAATGACCTTGGGAGACAGAGAAAAGAGCTGCAGGCAGGGGAACAGTTGAATAAGAAGAGCTTAGCCCACAGCAGGAATGTAGATGTGGCAAGCATCTCAGAAGTGACCCTCCCTAGTTTCTTGGGCCGTAAAGGCAATGGGAGAGAAATGTAGTTTCAGACTTGCAAGATTCTGTTAATGTAACCTTACAATAAAGTAGAATTAGCTCATCTAGTTGTGCTTCCTATCTGGACTACTTTACAAGGCTGACATCAGTCCTGCAAGTCATTGGAGGAAAATGGAGTATGATTGTGTGCTATAGCAGTACAATTCCAGCTTTGTTTTTAATCTATCTTATATTGCAATGTTTTTCTGATATTATATAACATTTACTCATATGTGAATAATAGAAGATGATAGTTCTGGACACCCAAATAGAAATAAAAAAGTGTAATTCAATTTTGAAGAGCTTTTGTATGATTATTCTTGGAATTGTATTAGACTAAAAAGGTTGTCTCTCTTGCGTTTGACCCTATGGCAGCTTTTACTAATTTATTCATTCAATAATACAGGTAGATCTTGAGTCATGACCATTCATTCAGTGACCGTTCAAAGTTACGATGGTGCTGAATGAAGGGACTTACAGCCAGTCCGTGAACTTCTGGCCATCGCAGTGCCCCCGTAGTCACATGAACAAAATATCGGGTTCCTGGCAACCAGCTCCCACTTATGAGCAATTGCACCATCCCACAGTCACATAATCACCATTTGTGACCTTCCCAGCCAGCTTCCCCCACACCCTCTTTCCACAGCCTCTCTGCAACTGCACACAAGCATGCACGTACGCTGTGCCCTCTTTCCACGGCCAGTTTCTTAGAGACAAAATAAATTAAATGAACATTCTTTTTGCTACATAATTTAATTGTATGCACTGTAACTAACACAGAACCTATAAAAAATTCAATACAGGGATCTAATTGTATTAACAAAGTATACTAATCTCCTTTTTGGTACATCCCCATTTACAGCACATTGCAGCTATTCCTAAAGACATGTCACGCTTTCTTCGAGGATACTTGACCTGTGGAAAATTATATGATTCCATGGAAGTGATCAAACTAGTTTCACCTCTTTTATGCACAACACTTGCTACTTGGGAAGGGTGGTCATTAAATTCATCAGAAATAGGAACATAGTCATTATAATCATCATACAGATTATATAGGTCTCTCAGTAACTGTTCACTGGCTGGCCGGCTGCCACTTCGCAATCGTTTCAATTTAAAATCCCATAGTGATTGAGGATTAAAATTCTTCAGTCCATTCTTACTGCTAGCTTGTACAAATGCTGTTAGGAGAAAATAAAAGAAAGCATCAAAAGCTTACACAGTATAAAATAGGCATCAGAAATAGATTTCTTTGTAATTGGGCAAAAAGAAGTAATTCTGCAATAGTTGAGGGTGATCACCAAATCTAATGAGATTTTGAAGGGCTATACTCTATACGGGGCAGAATTTATATTTTACTTTTTTTAGGATGCATATGTAAGTAACAGCACTGGCAGCTGTTCATCCTTTCCATCAGAAAGACAGTTCACAAAATTACATAAAAGATACATTACACAGCAATATGTAAAACCTTCTATCTTCAACACAGGATCTAAAAGAATATTAAAAGCCTTTAATTTGCTTCACACATGACCTAGAAAAAGTTAAATCCCTAACACTCCATTATTTGCTTCAGTATTTATGCATCATCTCTCAAGACTATTCAGTGCACTTGAGTGCATATAATAATTTTTTAAAATTAAAAATTAAAATACACACTCATTGTGAGGAAGTTGGGGTTGCTGTCTGGGCTTGGGAAAAGTAGCTGCAGCCAGGCAGAAATGCTTCTCGCCCCATTTTCCTAACTCAAACGTTACTCACGAGCATCCAAGCTGGCGTTCCAGCTGCCTATGATATTTGAGCCACATCCTGGAATTTTCAAGGACATGCCGACATCCAGATGCAGCCTCACCCCACCCAGGCTCTTAGCTTAGAAAAGCAAATGCTAAGACAGAGTAGGGAGGTGTGTGTTGGAGAAAAGGAGATAGGAAAACAGCATACAGATGGTGAAGTGGAGGTGAGATCTGAAGATTGGCAGCTATTACAGGCAGGCAAGAGGACTATCAGTCAGCTGCCAGGACCACAAGCTATGGTAAGCAGCATATCCTGGTGGGATTCCTGCCTGGAGCTTGGCTTGGGAGCTCAGCTGGAGTTCTCAAAAGCAACACTGTTTAAGAGCAGAGCTTGGAGCTCGGCAGCAACCAGAAAAGGAACAACCACACTGAGGCAGCACCTCCCAACTAGTGCAAGAACCCTAACCCAGCTTCATCTGCACCAGCCATGGCTTAACTTCTTGAAAATATGGTAAGCCTCAGGATAACAAGGTTATATCCCTACCCACCTGTGAGAAATAACACAATCAGAGAGTGACCAAAGGACTAGAAAGCAAGAAAAATACAGGCACCTGGATGCTTCTAGGATTTGATAATGGAGGCATCAAACCACTATAAAGAAGTGTTTAGAATGCTGCACACCTAAATGGTGGCTTCCTTCAGGGCTGCCCTTGGCCAGGGATGTGCAGCAGCCTCAGGGGCAGCTCTTCTCCACCTTCTCCCTTGAATCTTTGGGCAAAGGAACCTCCTTATTCTCCCCTTCCTCATCTCCTCCCCCATGTTCTTGCACTGCAGCAAGTCACCTACCTCACGCAGAGGGAGCAACTCTCTGGATCTGATTCTGCGAGCATGCTAAGAATGCTGGATTTGGGCACGTGCGCTAGCGCACAGAGGACCCCTTAACCCAGTGTTGTCCAAACTTGGCCACTTTAAGATGAGTGGACTTCAACTCCCAGAATTCCCCAGCCAGTCATGAGTTGAGGCCACTTTAAGATGAGTGGACTTCAACTCCCAGAATTCCCCAGCCAGTCATGAGTTGAGGCCACTTTAAGATGAGTGGACTTCAACTCCCAGAATTCCCCAGCCAGTCATGAGTTGAAGTCCACTCATCTTAAAGTGGCCAAGTTTGGACAACACTGCCTTAACCTGTATAGAATCTGTTAAGCTGCCTCCCCCAGGCCCTTTGCAGAGAAGTCGGACGGCTGCTGCGTCTGGGAACAGAGGCAGGAGAGGAGCAACAACGGGACAGCCGATTATTTCAGGCCGGGAGATTTTTGCGAACTCAAGGAGGCTGGTGCAGGTCAACCCAGCAGCTGGATTTTTGGGAATCTCTTCCCAAAAACCTCCCTCTTCCTCACTGTCCGCCCTCCTGTTTGAAGCGAGCGCGGCTAAGGGAAGACAGCGTCAAGTACCTCCTAACCTACTTCGACACGCACGAATCGCCTCTGCGGGCGAGAGGAAAAAGAAAACGCGTCTGTGCCTGGCTCCTCCCCGCTTTTGTTCCCGCCAGCCGGCCGGTTTCTAACCGGCTCGTGCGCTGCCGGGCAGCGGCTCCCGGGCTGCGCTCTGCTGCTGTTCACCGACCCTCTTCCAGCGGGACCCTCCGCAAGTGAAGATGACCGCGCGGACGAAGTCGCGGCCGCAAAGCTTCACTCGGGGCTCGTTCTCCGAGCTGGGGTTGCTCCTTTGCGCCGCCGCCGCCGCCTCCTCCCGGGTACTCTGACAGCTCAGAGTCGTCGCCAGCAGGAGAAGCAGCTGCAGCCTCTTGAGTCGCATGGTGGACCCGCCTTCGCGCTCCTTCCAGGGGCCGCTGGGTGAAGCGCCGGTCCCGCGGTAGCTAAGCAGGGAAAGCGCTCGCCCTGAGCCACGGTCGGTGGCAGAGAGAGAGACGCTGAGTTTCAGCCTTCGCCTGACTCGGTTTATATCGCGGGACAAGCCCCTCCGGGTCTGACTCATCGCCCCCGCTGTTCCACCCTGCTCTGAGTAGAGTTATATTGCATGACACACACACACCTCACAACACTTCTGTGCTGCTAATTTTCTTCTGGCTTCTCACCCACCAATTAGCTTTATTAATTTACAAGAAATGTAAAAGCCATTGCAAAAACGGCCGTTCACCGGAAGGTGGAGACACGATTCTTGTGCACGGCAATAATGACTAACATCGATCGAAAATGTATAGGAGTAACTTTTGAACCTCTTTCCTCTTCCTTTTCGTCGTCTTGCCTGTTCAGAGTTCATCACTAGCAGGGTTATCTCGTTTACTGATTGAAGCGTAGATATTTAGTACAACATTTCTCACTGTAAATCTCAAAATGGTTTACAACTGAACGGACAACACTGTTAATAGCAAATTTATTAAAAGTATGGAGGGAAGAATGAAAAGAAACACTTTTCATGCAACAATCATACAGAAAAGATGTTGAGTGAAGAGCTCCTCTGAGACCAGCATTAAAGAAGAATGAAATGAACAAAAGATTGAATCTCATCCCAACCACAGAACAGCATCATGTTGTTATAACAAGCAAAGAATATCCAGTTTAAACTAATGACCACTTTGTTTCTCTGAGAATACGTCACATTTATGTTGCACTTTAAACACTCTAAAACGCTCCACCTATTATCTCATTGTAAACCATACAGTAACACTGTACTCAAGATTGTTATTCCTATATTACAGACAGGAAAAAAAAAAAAACCAGAATGGCTGATCCAAGACCACCAAATGAGTTATGGACAAAAGACATCTCTGTCACTAAAGTAGTTCAATTCAACAGCACTACAATTGCTGAATATATAATTACCTCCTATAATGGTTTACATATTTGGGATAAGCCTGACACCTTGTTGGTACAGAGGCAAGATCAGCTGTTTCCTATTTACTTTTGCAAGAAATCAATGGGAGAGGTGACTTCAGTGTCTATTGTGCAAAAGGTTAATTTGGTACCCTAGCTAACTTCCATTGATTGCTTAATGAAGACTAAATAGGATGCTGTTAATTGAAATTGATTACTATTAATGTAAACCAATTGAGGGTGCCTATATGTTTTTACCTTTCATTTACTCAGTGCAATTATAGCAGACAACTAAGTGAATAGTTCAGCATACCTGTAGATAAAAGCAGTATTTTGTGGTTGGATTTTATAAACATAATCCGGTTTTGTTTCATGGTGTGTTATCAGACGGTGTAGTTCAATTATTATGTAACCAAATGGATAACGGGCATTTAGAATAACTTGCAGTACTGTATGTACTCAGCATTCATAGAAACTTCATCCAGTGACTTATTTCATTCGGGTAGCTAATGTGTATTAATGGTTTACCACAGCTTAGCAGATGCTGTATGATGGATAAGTTATGGAAAAGAATAAATAATCCAAATAATTATATTGCTTATTAGAAATCCAATATAGTAGAAAACATTATTTGTATTAGAATATTATACCTAGGAACAAAACAAATAAATTATCCCTAACTGTGAGGAATTTAATTTTCAGGTCCTATCTTCTAGCTAGACCCAAGTGAGTGAGATACATGTCATCACACCACTGTAAAACATTACTGCTGAGCCCTAAAGCTTGAGAGAGGGAGGCATGGTACATATTATACCCTCAGGATCAGACAATAAACAACACACTTTGACAAAAATTGTGAAAAATGGTAATCTCCCCCCCCACCCCCACCAACCAGGCCTGCTGCCACTGAGTATGCAATTGGTGCACCTTTGTTCCAAGGACCCAAATCTGCTGGTGAATCTTGGTGGCCTACAACAATCCATATACTACTAAAACTCTCCGGTCTATAACCTTCAACTGGGCAAAATGATGTGTCATAGGGCAACAATTTTTGAGCCAAGGTACCTCAAATGGGCTAACTTACAGAATGCATCCAAATTCTGGGACCCATTACTCCTGTGGGATTCAAATTTGGGAAATGTGTGGCTGCTTCAGCACTGCACTGCAGCAGTCAGCTCAGGTACATGATTGTCATGGGCATATTCCTGACCTTTCCCACCTCCCTCTGTGCCCAATCAGGTCTTGCCAGCAAGACCTGACAGGCAAGCAACAATTGGCTGCTTTGGAAACGAGGCAGAAATTTGAAATTTCTTAATGGCAGTTGGTGGTGAGGAAAGGATGAGGGAGTGGCTTGGATCCCTGCTGGCAAGGTAGGGATGGCTGGGGGGCACCGGTGGTCAATGGGTGAGCTCTCTTCCTCCCTCAAGGGAGGGGGCCCTTGGGGACATGCCGGAATGGGGAGTAGGGCTGCAGTTTTCTTCACAGTCTGTGGCTCTCTTTGTTCCACCTTCCCCCAGCAAAGGGGCAGACAGTTCTGCTGGTCAGCCAGGGAGGAGGGGGAGGCGGAGGCAGTTTCACTGGGGCTCTCCTGAGGGTCATGAGGGGAAGGCAAACAGTGCAAGCCTATATCATATGTGGAAATAGAATGGACGGGAGGGAGGGAAGAAGGGAAGGGAGAGGGAAGAGGGAAAGAAAGAAGGGGGGAGGGAGGGAAGAAGGGGGAGGGAGCCTGATACTACAATCGTTAAATTTATTTTTCTCTCTCATTAATCTACACTCAGTACCCCATGATGACAAAGTGAGAACAGAATTTTCTGCCATTCTTCTTTGCAAATCCTCTCAAGCTCAATCAGGTTGGATGGGAACCATGGGTGGACAGCCATTTTCAGTTCTCTCCAGAGAT